AGAGTTCATCATTAGTTCTTTAAATTTTCTTTCTTTTTTTTTATTCTCTTCTACTGGAAGTCCCAGTTAAAGATGCTTCTGGCTATTGCCAGGGTAGTTTGAGAAGTGTGTGTAAGCTTCTTGCTCTTCGATCTCTTTTTGCTTGTAATTTAGTTGGGAATTCCTCTTAAAATGCCATTAAGCTCACTTCTCCTGTTTTCCTGAACTTTTTATTTTGTTGTTGATCCTGTTCAGTTAGGAGCTTTTCATATTTTTTTCTCTCCAAAATTCTCATTTGATTCTCATTGATTCTCTTTGTATATTTTTCTTGCTTCCTCATACTTGAGGGTTATTTTTTAAGATTTATTTATTTCAAAGGTAGAGTGACAAGGAAGGAGGGAAAAGCAGAGAGATCTTCCACTCACTGCTTCACTTGCAGTGGCCGGGTCTGGGCCAGGGCAAAATCAAGAGTCGAATTTCTTCCGGAGCTCCCAGGAGCATGGCCAGGGCACCTGCTTTCCCAGGACATCAGCAGGGAGCTGGACCGGAAGTGGAGCAGCCAGGACTCTAGCTGGTGCTCAGATGGGATACCTGTATCACAGGCCATAGCTTAACCTGCTATGCCTCAATACTTTTAGATTCTTTTTTAAAAAAGATTTATTTTTATTTTTATTGGAAAGTGACATATACAAAGAAGAGGAGGGACAGAGGAAGATCTTCCATCCATTTATTCACTCCCCAAGCGGCTGAAATGGCTGGAGCCGAGCCAATCCAAAGCCAGGAACCAGGGTCTCCCACGCAGGCACAGGATCCCAAGGCTCTGGGCCATCCTCAGCTGCTTTCCCAGGCCACACGCAGGGAGCTGGATGGGAAGCGGGGCTGCCGGGATTAGAACTGGTGCCCATATGGGATCCCAGCGCGTTCAAGGCGAGAACTTTAGCCGCTAGCTACTGTGTCAGGCCCGGTATTTTAGTTTCTTGAGAACATCTGTAAAATACACCTTGAAGTCTCCTCTGAAAATACCATTGTTTTTGAAATTTCTGCTTAAGTCTTATCTAGGCCATGGTCCACTTTGGCTTTGTTTTTCACTTGTCCATAAACTTTTGCTAGATGGGACACATTGTTATGTTTTGGAGTGCCTGAATTACCTCTTCTTTCTTCAGAAAGATTTGCCCTTAGTTTTGGCAGGCAGATACATTGTTTGCAGGATTTATTTAATTTTTTTCCAGAATTGTTTGCAAGCATTTTGGAGAAAAGTTAGAGTAGCTTTTATTCTGGATGATCTTCTGAGGTGCACGATGCCCCAGCCGTGCAGCAAGGGCCCGGCTGGCTGTCCTCCCCAGGTGAGCTGTGTCCGGCTTGCGGCCTCCCTCCACTCACCGTCGGTCGTGTGTGTGTGTGCTGTGTGCGTGTGCAGCTCTGGGTTCGCGTGGACTCTAGGGGCTCCTCTGCATATCTGCGGGGCCCCTTCTCTGTGTAGCTCCTTCCTTGCTAGAAATTCCAGTCAGCTTAACCCCTTCCAGATTCTGCTCCCTGTCCTGGCCTCCGCAAGTTTACCATGTTCTGCGTGGAATCTCGTATCGTGCCCTTGGGTTCAAGCTCTCTGCTCCTTTTTCCTTCCCTCAGGTCACAGTTGAGTTGTTTTGCCCATTGTTCCCATGGTTCACATTGGAACAGCCGACCCAGCCTGTTCCGTGGACCGTGGCCCAGGTGGGTACACGGAGCACCTGCTCGCCTCCCCGGCGCTGGAGCAGGTGGAAGTGTGGGGTGAACGAGGGAGATCAGAAGACACCAGTCCAGGTTGATCTCCCTGGGAAGCAGTCTGCTAAATTGTGATTTGTTTTGGAGCCTCAGAGAAAAGGGATGTAGGTTACTCTGCCTTTTCAGCTTACTGAGCTATGATTCACATACCACTGGGTTCACCCATTTAAAGCACATAATTTTATGGTGATTTTTTTGGTAGAATTGACAGTTATACAACCATTACCACTGTCACCCCAGAGACGTGCAGCCCATCAGCAGTCCTCCCTCCCCTCCCCAGCTCCCAGCAGCACCAGCCTGCGTTGTCCCTCAGGTTCTGTTCTTTTGGGTTTCTTACGTGAGTGGATAACGTTTTCAGGAGTCATCCATGTTGCAGTGTCTCCCGGTCCTCATTCCTTCTCCTGGCCAAGTGACATCCTGTCACATGATCTGCTGTGTTTGACCCATTGGTCAGTTGATGGGCATTAGGTGGCCGGCACCTTTTGATTGCAGTGAGCAGTGTTACCTTCGGGGTTCGTGTACACGTTTTTGCGTGGACAGGTGTCTTCCGTTCTCTTGAGGGTGCGGCATGGCTGCAGTGCACAGTAGCCGTGTTGAACACTGTCGGGAATCGCTGGCTTTCCCAAAGGACTGCTGCTGTGCATTCCCATCAGTGATGCCCAGCGGCCAGTGTTCCACATCCCCGCGTTTGGCTTCGTGTGTCTGTTAAGATGGTTTCACATCTCCAGGGAGAAGACAAGGCTGCTTTGGCCGTGGGATTCCAGCAGAGACCTCTCAACCTCCTCCCGTACAGGACAGAGGGCAGCAGGCCCGAGCCCATCTGCGAGCAGGCGAGCTGGCCACTTGCTCTGCTATAAGCACACTGAGCCACGGGACGAGTGGCACCCTCACTGCCAGATGGAGAACCCCGGCTGCACGTGGTGTCTCCCGCATGAGTCCCTCCCATGTCGGGGCTGCAGTGCCACGTTTCGCTGACTGGAAGGAGGCTTTGGGTTCTGGAGGGATCCTTCCCAAGTGGGGTCACAGCTCTCCCCTCACCTGGTAACTCCTGGGTACATGCCACACAGAATCCCTTCATCTCACTGTGCTTTCATGGCACAACTCATTGGGTTTGTCTTTAAAAGCTCGGTCTCCTCTTCAGCCTCTGCTAGGTGAGACATTTGTTAGTCCTGCTTAGGCTTCCAGCTGAGGAGCCCCCGCAGTGAGGCAAGGTGGGAACTGGGGGAATTTAAGAACAAAAGACATTTTTGCCAGGTAGTCTGAATAGTTGGGAATATGACAAGGATGGAGGAGTGGAGCTGGTCTTCCCACCCATGGTTCAAGATTGGATTTCTCTCCTTGCCTGGCATGCCACTCCTCTGGCTCAGATTACACTCTTTGCCTAATAGGAACTGCGTTTTTGTAAAGCTTGAAGGAGCCATATGTCTGAGCTCTTCTTATTTTTTCTTTAATTATCACTACTAGATGAGTTAGCTGCTTTTGTGACTCTGGTGTCTGAAGTATTTCACCCTGCTCTCCGAAAGCAGAAATGGCAGCACCGCTGCCCCTAGGGACGTTGGCGGCGTGGCCGCCGTGGGCACAAGGCTTAGCAGCCAAGGGGCAGGAACAGACTGCAAAGCCAGCCACCACATCCCTCCCACTGCCGGCTGTCAGGCGCTCTTCAGCAGGAGTAGGAGAGGCAGACAGTTCAGCAGCTTTTGCACATCCCTCACGCACATGGGCTGGGGACAGCTTTGTCTTGAATGTCACCGTTTGAATGACAGCTCACGGCTGAAACACCTTGCTGCTGAGCAGAGTGGGGGAGCCCAGGGTAGTGAGGTCTGGGCAGGGAGCCTTTGTAGTTGATTTTCTCCCTTCTGCTGTCCCTGCTGCTCCCTGCCGTCCCCTGTGACTGGAGGGCAGGCTTCATGCTGAGACACGAGAGGGGGGCTTTGCCCGCCTGCTCCTGAGCTGGCCTGGTTGTAGCTTCTCAGCTCACTTGGGAGGCCTCTGGATTCCATGCTGTGCTCCTCTCTCAGCAGCCATCAGGCTGTGCTGGGTCAGGCAAGGTGGTGCTCTGGGCTCAGCTCTGCTTCTGCCCACGGCACCTGAGACAGCAGCCCCTCCAAGAGGAATTCAATCCGAGCTCTGTCCTCAGCTGATCTGGGCCGCCTGCAGCAGCAGCTCGCAGCCCAGCTAGTGTCCTGCGTGCTGACTGCTGGTAGCCATTGTGGGCAGTGAGCAGGCCCCCGACCCCGCGCTGTCCCTTGTCCTGGGGTACAGTCCCAAAACAGCACGCGAGGCTCATGATGGCGAACATGTGCCAGTACATAATGAACGAGCATGCCCAGCTCACGAGAGCTTTCCTGGGGGCTGGTGTTAGCAGCAGCTTATACTGCCACTTGCAGTGCCAGCATCCCACAGCCGAGTGCAAGTTGGATCCCAGCTTCTGGGATCCACCTTCCTGCAGGTGTGCCTGGGAAGCAATGGAGTTGGGCTCCTGCCACTCACGTGGGAGACCAGGATGGCTGCAAGCAGCCATGTGGGGACTAAACCCGTGGTGGGAAGCCTAAAACATGGGAGCTGCACGGAAGGCATGCAAGAGTGACACCACTGGGAGGTTTGCCAGTCCCTCCAGGTCGTGTCTGCTGGACCGCACAAAAGTGGCTGTCCTGTCCTTGCCGCGCCTCTGTACCCCACCTGTGAAGTAAGCAACAAACTTAGTCTCTGCGCTTGTGCTCTCAGACCTGGCCCCTTCTCCGACCGGCAGTGCCCTGAGCGCCCAGGCCTGGCTGCACCTGCCGAGAGGAGTCCTGTGTTGCCTTCGGTTGATTTGGTGCTTGGCACTGGAGGGAGGTGCCGAGGGTTCCCGGAGTGGCCTGGGCAAGGGGGAACGGACCTGAGGGACTCTGTTCGGGCTGCCTGCCCATTCCAAGCCATGCTGCGAGGGTGCTCCAGGGACCACAACCCCCGGGTCCCTCTAGGGCCTCCCCAAGTCCTTTCCCAGTCTCTCTTCTGGCTTGGCTGTGCCACATGTTATAAGCAAGAAATAAAAGAAAGCTTTGCATTCTTGCTTCATAAGGAACAATTCTAAGAATGCACAAATCAATGAAATCCTGGTCATTGGGCTTCTGGTTAATTGAAGCTTTGTTGCACACAACCACAGCGTGTGCCTGTTTTAACCAGTGCAGTGAAAAGCTTTGGTTGGTTGTAGGTTCCAGGTAGCTGAGTTTTGTTAGCATTTCACTGTCTTGACATTCTTTCTTCCATATTCCTCCCAGGGAGATGCAGTAAAGGACTTGATGCTTCGCTTCCTGGGTGAAAAAGCTGCGGCGAAGAGACAGGTCCTGAGTGCCAGCTCCGTGGAGCAGTCCTTCGTGGGGCTGAAGCAGCTCATTGTAAGTAGCAGTGTGTGAGTTTCACACTTGGCCTTGATACATCTGCCTTCCTTGGTCGTATGTTCCTCTGGAAGTTAATTATTTTGAAGGTACCACCCCAGATTCTCACACACACATGAAGTGTTCCTGAGTGAGTCTCCAGTCCCCTGAGCAGGGAGCTTTGCCCTGGGCTAAGTCCAGTGAGTCACAGAGCTGTTACTCCATGGGATCAGCTCGCTTGAAGCTGTAGATGCTGGCAGTTGCCAGACATTCACAGAAAATATGTGTTATCTTAAACAATGGATTTCAGAAACGTTTTTGTACCAAAATAAATTTAGCTTTTAATTCTTTTCCCTAAAATATTAAGTAAATGCAATGGGCTTTATGTTCCTTTTTAAAAATATATTCCATTTGATATGAAAGAATTGTTACTGAACAAGTGGACTTAAGCTTTGCCCTGAATTCTGTGGGCTTTTACTTTAGTAGTGCTGGATCTCCGCGCTGCGCATGCTGATTATTCCCAGTGAATTCAGCATGAGAGAGCACTAACGGCTTGGGCTGCTTGTCCAGATTATTAAGGAAAATATACTGCAGGTTCGTTGTCCACAATTCTTCTGGGAAGCCCTAAGCTGTCCAGCTGGTGGACACTCGACAGTAGCCACGTCTCAGATTCGTTCACTCACCCATCCTGGCCTCATCCCCTTGACTTGTCCAGGTGGGGCCACAGAGGATCCAGCAGGAACACACTCTGTGTCTGAGCATGGTCAGTTGGAACGGGTTAGAAGAGGTATTAGAAAGATGAGGCTCTTGGCTTTGGAAGGAGAAGTTGGCGGCTGCCCCTGGCCCTGCTTTGGCAGTGCTTCACTCTGGGGTGTCACCCTGGATTTGGGTGAACAGCCTGAAGGATAGGCATTGACATTTTGACCTTTGAAAAAGAGAGTAGTGGGTGAGTCATTGGCTGAGCGATTAAATGGCTGCTTGGAACACCCGTGTCCCATGTCTCGTGCCTGGGCTCAGGTCTCGGCTCTGCTCCGGGTTCCAGCTTCCTGCACATGCACGCCTGGGTGGCAGCAGCTGGTGTAGCTGAAGTGATGGGGTTCCTGCCCACGTGGGAAGCCCCCGTGAAGGTCCTGGATCCCAGCTCCAACCTGGTGTACCCAGGTTTTGAGAAGTGACCTAGCAGTGGGACATGTGTGTGTGTCCCTCTGGAATTCAAAAAGAAGACAAGGGCTAGTGTTGGGACGCAGGGTACAGCTGCTGCCTTTGAGGCACTAGTTTTTGTCCCTGCTGTTCCACTTCTCATCCGTCTTCCTGCTAACAGCCTGACAAAGCAGTGAAAGATTGCCCAAGTGCTTGGGTCCTTGCCACCTACAAAGACCTGGGCAAAACTCCTGTCTCCACTTCAGCGTGGCACAGCTCCCAGCCATTGTTGCCATCTGAGGCATTAACTAGAGGGTGAAGATGTCCATTCTTTCTCTCTCTGCATTTCAAATATATAAATACATTTTGAAAAAAGGAGAGTGTGAAATTTCTCACTTCTTTTCATGAAATTCACCATCTTATTTTTCTCTGTTGTGAATGAATCAGATCTTAGCCATTGCAAGCCAGACCCTGAGGATTGAACAGTTAAGCCCTTGAAAACTTATTGAAGATTTAAACTCAGTACCCTATTTAAGTGATAGCCTGTGAAATAAAACTTGGAAATGAAAATGAAAAATATGCAGTTTATTTGGGACAACATGGTCTGGTCTCGAGTTGGAGGCAGCTGTATACTGTGCTCCGGTGGAGAGAGGTCCCTCTTTGCACAGACGTTTTTCAATCGAACTTGAACTAAAATTGCCCTGGTTCTGTCTTCCCCACCTCTGTGGTTTAATCAACACTGGAGACTGGGGGGCGTCTTTCCTCCTGTGGGTGAGTCCTGCTGTTTGGGAGGCACAGGCCCTGAGCTAGAACTCAAGGGAGGCTGTCTCGGGCTGGTTCATGGTGCATTCCCCACAATAAGAGCGCATGTTTCTTCCTGCCCATGCCTGTGACCTGGGTGTCGCAGGATTCCAAACACTCTCCTGACTGCCATCCTTCCAGAGCAGTCCCCGCAGCCAGGGCAGCCCCGGCTGCCTGTAGCCATGAGTGGGCTGCTGGAGCCCCCACTGGGCAGGCCAGGGTGCCTACAGCTGGCAGGTGGAGGGCTCCAGCTAGATGCCAGGCGTCCCTGCCTCCAACCTCATTCTCCAGTGGTCTGCTGTCTGCGCACCTCCTGGCTCCTGTAGGAGCAAGATGGCCAGACATGGATGCCCCCTCCATCCCACTTTGCATGTGCCTCCCTTCTGGGATCTCACGCGAGCCTCCTTGAGGAAGTGCTGAAGCTGCCTAGATGTCCTGACGCCCTGTTGGGGGCAGGTGAAGGCCGCACCACGTCTCTCTCTCAGTGGCTGTGACTAGGAGTCACAGGCTGGAGGCAGAGCTCAGCTACAGGAAACCAGAAATTGAGAATCCGCCAGCAAAGGCGTCCCTCTGGGCTGGAACGCGTCAGAGACACACAGCATTCCCTTCGAGAGAGATGAGTAAGGAACCAGAGAGGGTGACACAGGAAGCTGCCATTGAGAGGGGTTTGTTTACACAAATAAAGGAAGGAGCACAGAGAGAGGAATTAAAGGGGGGGAGGGGGAGTGCCAGAGAGTGACCCAGGAGAGGAGAGAAGGAGAACCCGAGCCAGCGTGGGGGTCTTCTGTCCAGCAGGCCCAGCAGTACCTCTACTCGACAGCACGGTGACTGGCTAACAGATATAATCACCGGACCTGCCAGTGAGGTTAAAGGTCAGGAAGCTGTGTCCTAGGGCTGACCGGTTACCTGCTGAAAAGTAGGATGAATTAACATTTGACTTCCTAGAATTGTTTACAAAGGAAGTCCTAGCACAGTTCATTAAAGGGGCAGGGAACAGGCCATGTTTGTGTCTCAATTAGCAAAGGGCACAGTGTGCCATGTGCTGTGGCCTCCCATATGGGCTAGGCAGGTGGAGATCCAGGGGCCATCTCCAATGGAACCAAGGTGGACCCTTCCCTGTGCTGGGACTAGGGCAGTGTTGTGCAGAGCTGAGCCCTGAGTGGAGCACCTGTCAGAATTTCCTCACATCCTGGAGGACTAGGCCTGGACCAGCATCACACAGAGCAGTTGAGCTGCGTTTGATCTGTGTGTTCAAGTCTCACTCAAGTTCTTCCTTGGGGTTTGTAATTAAAGAATAGAATGATGTATGGTTGGTTATCTTTTATGTGTGACAGAGACAAACCACATTGAAGGAAAATATTTGGAAAGCTGACAGTCCCAAATCCATTCTTTGCAGGTTACAACCTTGTAAGCTACAGAGCCGTAAGGGTACCCCTTGCCTGGGGGCTGCATGGCCTGGGCTGGGTACTGCGGGGCTCGGTATCCCTTGGTTGTACAGTTTTGGGGTCTTCTGTATGCAGTAGCGTCTGACTGTGAGGACAGCTTTCCTGGCTGCTGGGTGGGAAACTCACATTCTAAAGTGATGTTTCTTTACCTGTAGGTTCGTACAGCAAGTGCTGTGGCTGCCCTTGGTGGCGGTAGAGGTGGGTGGCACCGTGGCTGCCCTTGGTGGCGGTAGAGGTGGGTGGCGCCGTGGCTGCCCTCGGTGGCGGTAGAGGTGGGTGGCGCCGTGGCTGCCCTCGGTGGCGGTAGAGGTGGGTGGCGCTGTGGCTGCCTTCAGTGGCCGTGGAGCCAGATGGTGCCGTGGCTGCCTTCAGTGACCGTGGAGCCAGATGGTGCCGTGGCTGCCTTCAGTGGCCATGGAGCTGGATGGTGCCATGGCTGCCCTCGGTGGTGGTGGAGCCGTGTGATGCCATGGCTGCCCTCGGTGGCGGTGAAGCCAGGTGGCGCCATGGCTGCCCTCAGTGGCAGTGGAGCTGTGTGACCCTGTGGCTGCCCTTGGTGGCGGTGGAGCCGTGTGATGCTGTGGCTGCCCTTGGTGGCGGTGGAGCCGGGTGACGCCGTGGCTGCCCATGGTGGTGGTGGAGCCAGGTGGCGCCATGGCTGCCCTCGGTGGCCATAGAGGTGGCTATTAGAGGCTCTTGCAGTCTGGCACATGGAGCAGACCGAATTTGAAGTGTTGTGCTATGACCCTCAACTTTGCTGTTTCTGGGGGAGGTTCTTCCTCAGCTGCCTACTCAGCACAGCTCTGTCCCCTCCACTCCTGTCCACTCCTGTCCACTCCTGTCCATGGCAGTGAGACACGCCCTCCTCTTGCCCCACAGAAGCTGCTGGGAGCACAGCTTTAGTGCCCAGCCAGCATGGGGAATCCAGAGCTCCCAGCTATTGTCCTGGGAAGGGATTGCGGGCCCTCCTGGAGATCAGTCTGAGAAACCCACACTGTCCCCTCTCCTGTCCTTCTCTATACTGTGACTGTGCATTTTTATCTCCTGCTAGAGCAGAGGAGGGAGCACCCCAGGCCACCGCAGGGTTCTGTGCACGGCCTGCCTGCCGTCAGGGTCTGCTTCCAGAAGCACTGTGGCTCAGTGCAACGTGCCATGCCTGCAGCAAAGCGTCTTCACCGAGCGCTCTCTGCCGCGGGAGTCCCCACAGGAGCGTGCTGGTGGCAGCCAGGCAAGCGCCTTGCTGGGTTTCTCTGGAAGATTGGGAAGCTTTGGGAAGGAAAGGTGTGGAGCTGTTCTGTTTCTTCAGGGGTGAGGGGCGAGTGCCTGGTCTCATAGGGAGTGCCTTGTAACTTGCTGAGGTTGGAAGGTGAGACGCTCTCGTGCTGTGGGTTCCAAGCAGCGGCTGGTTTGTTTAGCCAGCCTTGACAGTCACCCCTGGTTTGTCCTATGGGAACCCTTTTTGCCTTCTTCAGTTATCTCTAGTTTGGAACGTATGCACCATCCTTAGATTTAAAAAAAAAGTGCGAGAATGCTGTCCTCTTTACACAGAAGCGTCACAAAGGCTGGCACTGACTTTTCACACCTGGTCAAGTGGGCATTCCTAAGGATAGCTCTGCCAATTGTTTCACCTTGAGG